TTGCAAAAAGCGAGAACATCACTATGCCTTTAAGGGTAAGATCTTTGATCTCGTCACTGAATTCCAAGGTATTTCGATAGCTGCGTCGCGCTAGCTAATGCTGTACGGGTCTTAAGTTTCTCTGCTAGCTACCTCGCTATCGCATGATACGGAGTTTCGCATGTCTAAAATCGGACGAACTGGCAGACCTTCCTTATGGATCTTAGGTAGACTACACAGTCGAGAAATATGTGTGCCGACTAGCTGGAGGTGTTCGAAACCACTGTATGGAGCCTTCTTAAACAGTCAGTCAGTTCTGCTTCTACTTCATGCAATCCTTTCCTTTGTCTGCATTCGTGAATTTCCTCCGGTCTGATAGTATGAACTGTATCTTCGCAACGTAGTCCGATCTGTTCATCGTAACGACACCTGTTCCTTTGTCCGGTCTATTTACGAAGATTTCTTTCCTCTCTCGAAGTTCTTTTAAATTTGCCACGTGTGTCTTTGTCAGCAATCCCCGACTTTTTTGGCCCGATGCAATTAGCCAGTGTTGATTTACAATATTGGATACTGTCTGTGGAAGCGGACATGATATCATAAGTTTGTTTCCATAGGTTCTCGAACTGAGTTTCCAATTCTAACTCATTAATTGTCGACGAGGTATGCTGAACTTAGGATCAAGGAATAATGCTTCTAATGATGTTTTATCTAGTGTCTTATAGGAGTGATCGTGTACGCGCTGACCTGGATCTTTCGGAAACCGTGATTGTGGTTTCATTTCGTGCAGTTCTAAGAAGATCAGAACCTTTTGCCTCTCCGCGTTTCCTTCCTATGGACTGAGTGTAGCTGTCGAACTCCTGTCTTTCGTCATCTGGCAGGGTTTCATGAGCGGCTGTGCGTTGACACGCGAGAAGCTCAAGTTCCTCCATCTTTACGAAGGCACTTTCAGTTGATTCTCTGTTTACCTTTTCAGGATTTCTATGGTAAGAACCGTACGACTAAGCGCAGCGCTCTCGAGTAGTGGCTTGGATACTCGTTTCTCTCAATGCAGTCCGCGATAAACTTGGCTATTGTTTTTGCCTCCACAAGCTTGGTATTGAAACGTAGGTACCCACTGAGTGCCTTCAACACCGTGGGATCTTTGGACTGCTTAAGGGTCGCGAAAATTTCCATGGCGGTATTTACAGTAATTTTACACGGAAAAACATGTCGCAAAAGACGGTGGTGCCCGTCAGATGCCTCCCGGAGTGGATGCGGCATCAGCGACTTGCGCTTAATTAGATTATAGTGTGGTAGGCTTGCGCCGCATCTCCTCCTCCCACCACCACAAGAAAACAATAAAATGTCGCTGCGACCGAGGGGGCAGTGACTAACAAGGCTAAACCACCGATCTACGTGCGGCACACACGACCAGGTCTCCTTCCTTATGTATTGTCACTCTAAGAGTAATTCGGATGTCATATAAAAAAGAGCCATCGTAGACTGATTATTAATCCATAGGACGGGGATACCCATCATTTGGTAACTTTCCATTTCACTACTTGTAATGTGTCGTAGTAGACTTGCTAGTGTTGGATGTAATATACCGAGGAACGATCTGATGCGTTGTATTTTCCAGTATCCATCTCAATTCCCCTTTTGTCTCCGGTCCACGAGATGACTGTTCCAGTCTGACAATTCTACAGTCGTGAGCGACGAATTCCACCATGTGGCTTACGCGTGAACGAATTTATAATGAGGCAGACGCGGGAAGCATCTATCACACCATCCATTCCACCACCCACATCAAGAAAGTGTTGAAATGGCCGGAGGTGGGCCGGGGTTGAGTGGTTGACAAGGTAAACAACCCGTCTACGTTTGCCACGCAAGCTTGGTCCGCGCATAATCAACCAGGCTCCTAAAGAAACAAAAGGATGACTCGGGTTCCATCCGAGTTGGAGTGCCATAGAGGCCACATTTAGAAGAAGCTCTTGCAGCCTGACTCTCATACCTGATAGGACCAAGTCACCCCGTCAGTCGGTAGCCTTCCAAGCAACGATTTTTAGCGCATCGCAATAGTTCAAAAGTTTGTAAGATTGTCTGTAATGAGATATGCGTTGAAGTGCCAGGGCAACTTCGTTCCCAGTGTCGACGTCTTCCTCCCTTCCCGCCCCCATGAAACAATCTGTCGTCGGGGCAGATCAATCACTTGATAGCGAGATTTGGTATAAGTGACTATTGCGGCATGAAGCCAGTGCCTAGTCATGCCACCACATCCCCTGTGTGGCATTTTAAGGTATTCGCAGACTCCGCGCAGCCTTATCAACGCGGACTGTGTCTTGATCTTGCCCCCGTCTTGCTCTAACGAGCCTTATGTGTGGCCGTGTTGAAGTTAGTTGCCAAACGGCTGGTGACAGGAACACACCTTCGTTTGTCTATGAATCCTTTTGCGACTTATAATTAAATTTAGCATTTGCCACCCAGCCACTCGACTCGTCAACTTAAGCTCCTGTGATATACTCACCCGGAAAAATACTTAATCACTTTTTTTAGTTTCAACAGCGCTCCAAACAAAGCAAGTATGCAGGACTTACACCCAAACCCATGAAACCTAATCTGAGAATCTCCGCTGAGCATCCATACCATATCTTACACTGATTTTCAGGATGTATTCAATCCTCGAGTTGCCCAAGTTTTTAGACTTCTCCAAACTTGCACTGTTTGGCATATCTAGCTGCTTTGTTGGGCATGTGGTATATTGCGTACTCCTGGGAATGAAGTCTGTGAATCTGACCTGACTTTCTGTGTTTTCAACTTCTCCTTTTACAAAAAATCTCTGATTATGACCGGCGTCACAAGACTTCCAATGATTCCTCTGTGTTCCGTTTTAACGGAAGATTGCTCACTTATAATTGGTACTTTCGAGTCATCAGGTAATCATTCGTGAATTCGCACCCATTCTATGACTTACGTCACTCCCAGTTTATTCAAAGAAAATTGGTACAACAGGTAACGCGAAGAAATTCTTTTAATGACCCATTCAGAAATTTCCTCTAAATCTACATAGAATTAAGTTCAAGCATTTCTTCGAATATCTCTTAGTCTCGATTAGACTAACATTACGTGGTCGCTAGTAATTTTAGCGATAGTCCATGCGGGAGGTCAAATAGTGACACAATGAGGATGAGAAGACGTCGAGTGCTGAAAAGAGTGATTCCTTATTCAAGGCCGCAGTGAGGCATAAGCGGGAAACAACGGAGTGAACAATCTAATGGAGGAAGCCAACCAGTCGGGTACGTCTTGTGTCTCTTACCACTTAGCCCCCACAACTAGCCATCAACAGAAGACTTTTTGATATTTTGGCAGATTTTGAATAATTCATATTGACCCAACAGTGAAAAACTCGGCGCCTCGGTGGGATTCGAACCCATGACAGTAAGGGGAAGGCTTCAGCGCAGCCAACGCTCTAACGACCTGAGCTACGACGCCCCGCCGGACGACGCGAGTTTAATCACATTTGGGTCAAGTTACCCGCCCAACCTACTGCAACGTCTGGAATCCACCAAATCTGATACAGTAAGTTGATTGCCCAAGCAGGATTTCCTAAGTAATTCACCTAGAATCCACCAGATGACTACCAGGTTCGCGTAACTCATTGATATTTTGGCAGATTTTGAATAATTCATACTGACCCAAATGTCAATATGAACAGAAGACTTTCCTGGGGTGCATATCGTCTTATCAATTTATTAGGTTTATTTTCCAGAGATAAGACGTAAGTTTCGGATAAATTTGCCTGGATGTTGATCGCAAATCAACAGTAAACAGTTCCAAAGAAGGAAATAATTCCTCAAACAACCTGTGAAGCGCTATGCGAAGAAGTAGTTTGTTAACTTATATTCTGATAATGGTTTGGTATAAAAAGGCCCCAAACAACTGACACGAAAAGTCACTAGGATTTTACGCGCAAAATAAAGCTGAGCAGACAATTATATTGGATACTTCGCATAGGTAACGGCAACTTCTAACTGCTCATCAAAAAGTGACGTAGAAAACAGCAAGAGCTCTGAACTTCCGATTTTTCATCAATTTAGAAAATCAGCTGACAGACTGTTGCGCAGACAAAATTGAGAAAAAACATGGCATAATGTGCGGTAGTCTGTAAACTATATTTCCAAAAGAACAAAAGTGGGAGAGATTATTTTGATCCAATAGCAATGCAACCAGAAACTATGGGAGTAAGGTCAGCTAGGGTTTCTGGCGCTGGTTGCAAGACAGAACGCGCAGGATGAAGCTGTATCAGGAATCAGTAATGAAGTTAAGACGGAGGGACGGAGGTCATTTTGACATCATTCGGACATATCTTCACGTGAGAACTCGACAAACGTCAGCTTCCGGCCACATGCGGTTAACGCCGTGTGTAATTCGTTCCGCACATAATGAGGAAGCGTATCGGTTAGTTCCAGCGAGGTATGAGCCACGTAAGTTTGAGAACACTAATAGCCCGAAAGAAGAAAATAGATGTTGGTTGTCAAGGAAGTGTTCCAGATTCTACAAGTGCGCAGTGGAACCGTCCAACGTTACTATCGTGCTATCTGCTTTGCATTTGATCGAAAAATCTATAGCCCTTAAACAGGGCATTAACTCAATCAAAAATCATTTAACAGAGCTGAAAACAAAACAAGACCGTGGCCAGTGAAAATGAAGAAGACCAGCTATATTGGGAGAATAAGAACTTTAAACAGGTTGACTAATGAACTTCGAGGTTTCGAGTCAGAGTATGCAAACAACATGCTTCTCCTTGCATATTATGTACCATATTGGGGTGTAGGGGTGTCCAGTTGTGCGTCCACGTGACGGTCGTAGGTCGCTCACTTGCTTGCAGGTGTAGACTACGCCTAGCAACCATATACTGGCACCCAACTCTCACCTGCGGTTCCCCGAAGCTAGGCTCTGCCTAGCGGACACAACCCTGTAACCGCCTCCATCAGTGAGCTAACCAGGTGAGGGTAGCCGTGTGGGCATCCCCGCACACGGTAACTCGGCTCCGCTAACCGAATGGATCACCGCCTCAGTATCTCCCAGACGAGACCCCATCTGCAGCACCGCAGGAAGCTACAAGGCAGGTGAGTCCCCAGATGAGCGAACACTGCTCTGCCGTCTTTGCTTGGTGTTGCTTGCTTGACTCTATCTACTTGCTTGTGTTCGTCCTTGTTGTAAGCTGAATTTCCTCTGTTTGCCATTGCTTCTGCTTGTTAATGCTTGCCTGCCCTTTGCTTGTTTCCCTTTGTATTTGCTGTACGCTAACTGCAGTTCCATTGAATCCGATTACTCAATTGTATTTATTAGCAACCAGTTCGCTTATAGGACGGGAAACCCTGTTTCTCATTTCCCTACCCAATCCCCATCCCCCCCGTCGAGTCATACGACAACGTCGTAGGCAGGCCCAGGTTAACTAGGGTCGTTCTACCACGAAAAAAAGCCATGGCCAATAGTGGAGTTCGTCAATTGTCTGGGAAAACCGAGCAGCTCTATTTAGAAACTGCACTGCTCACTCCAACGAGGGAGGAGGGGGCTAGAAAAGATGCCCTGAACAAATGCTGAGGAACTACGTCGTCTGCAGACTGACCGTGATCGCAGATGTAAAATGCACGACCGAAACAATCAAAATGGAAACAACACTCTCTTTTTTCCTACCCCCTCCCCGCCGCCACACTCGCAAAACCGGTAGGGTGAGTCCGCTCACTCCGGCAACCTGGAATGTTCATTCCTTTTTAGACAATACGAGAGACAACCGACCAGAAGGGAGAACAGCACTAGTGGCTCGAGAACTGGCGCGCTACACAGTGGACATCGCTAAACTCAGCGAGACCTCGTTCTCCAAACAAGACCAACTGGAGGAAGTGGGTGCCGGCTACACCTTCTTCTTGAGCGGTCGCCCCAAGGCAGAGCGACGGGACGCGGGTGTCGTCTTTGTCATCTGGAACGACGTCGTGGGACGACTGCCTTGTCTGCCGCAGGGCATCAACGATCGTCTGCCTCTCTAGAAAGGCGAATTCGCCATCACTGTCAGTGTCTACACTTCCCTGGTGACCAACCTGGGCGAAGTTAGGGGCAAATTCTACGAGGACCTGCACGCCCTCCCGGCGTCTGTGCCGAAGGCGGATAAGCTAATTGTCCTTAATGACTTTAACGCCCGCGTCGGCACAGACCACGCTGTCTGGATAGGAGTGCAGTGTCCCCATGGTCTCAAAGGCTCCAACGACAGTGGTCTGCTCTGCCTAAGAACCTGCACAGAACACCGTCTCACCCTGACCAACACCTATTTCCGCCACCTGATGCGAGAAAAGGCCACCTGGAGGCAACCCCGGTCGCGTCAGTGGCACCTGCTAAACTATGTTCTCGTCCGGAGGCGAGACCGGCGGGACGTGCTGTTGACAAAGGCGATCGGGTGGACCCACCATCATCTCGTCATCTCCAAGATACGGATTCGTCTACAGCCTTGCAGGAGACCTCAAGGTGAGCGACTCCCGGGAAAGTTGAATGTTGCTTTGTCGTCTCTGTCTGCCCACCATTTCCATTTCAGCAATAAGCTAGCTCAACGGCCAGCCAACCTTCCAGTCGCCACCGCCGCCTCTGACGTGACTGCCTCCGTGGAGAATCGATGGAGGCAACTAAGGGGCACAATCCAGCAGATGGGCCTGGCTGTCTTCTGTCACGCACGACGCCAAAATCGGGACTGACTCGATGACGGCGCCGCCATCAGCAACCTTCTTACCGACAAGAGCCGTCTGTACAGTAGCCTACGTCCTCCGTTCCAACGACGACAACAAAGCTGCCTTCTACCGTAGTCGCCGCCTTGTACAAAAGCAGTCGCGGGAGATGCAGGACGCCTCGACGGCTCGCAAGTCCGAGGAGATCCAAGGGTAGACGGATCTCAACGAATAGAAGAAATTCTTCTCCGCGATAAAGTCCCTCAGGATCTAAAGGACGCAACAATCGTACATCTATACAGGCGGAAAGGAAACCGCCAAATCTGTGACAACCACTGAGGCATCTCGTTGCTGAACATCACCGGCAAGATCTTCGCTCACATTCTTCTCAACCGCCTGAACCACCATCTGGAACAAGGTCTTCTACCGCAAAGCCAGTGCGGCTTCCATCGTCATCATGGAAACACCGACATGATCCTCGCCTCCCATCAACTGCAGGAGAAGCGGTCCCACCCCTTCTCTACCTTCACGAATCTGACAGAAGCCTTCGACACGGTGAATCACGAAGGACTGCAAAAAATCATGCAGAAATTCGGCTGTCCCGAGCCATTTACCCAGATAGTATGTCAGTTCCACGATGGCATGATGGCGCGAGTCACGGATAATTGACCTGCCACAGAGGCATTCGCAGTGACCAGCGGAGTGAAACAGGACTGCGTCCTCACGCCTAACCTCCTCTGTCATGCTGATGGACGCCTGCCGTGACAAACAGCCTGGGATCCGCATCGCCTACAGGACGGACGGCCAACTCCTCAACCACTGACGGATGCATTTTCAGTCGCGTGTATCCACAACGACCGTCCATGAACTTCTCTTAGCCGATAACTTCGCCCTCAACGCCACCCCAGAAGGGGACATGCAAGGGAGCATGGACCTATTCGTCACCGCCCACGACAACTCCGGCCTGATCATCAACACGGAAAAAATGATAGTTATGCATCAACCGCTACCCGACGCTACTTACAATGCATCTCACATCAATGTGAACGGCGCCTGACTGCAGGTCGTGGACAACTTCACATACCTGGGTAGCACCCTCTCCCGCAACAAAATAACCGACAATGAAGTGGCCCACTGGATTTCTAAAGCCAGCCAGGCCTTCGGCCGTCCGCAAAGTCTAGCTTTTAATCGCCACGGTCTCCACCTCAAGACCAAACTGGAGATATATAAGGCGGCCATTCTTCCGAAGCTGCTGTATGAGCAGAATCCTGGATGGTCTACATGAAGTAGGCACGAAGACTCAATAATTTTGACCTCAGTTATCTTCGTCGAATACTGGAACTGGGGTGGCAGGACTAGATCCTAGACATGAACGTATATGAGAGGACGGTAATCCTCAAAATTCACGCTATACTGAGGCAACTACAAATACGCTGGAGCGGCCACCTCGTACGGATGGACGACGAGAGGCTACCAAAACCACTTCTCTATGGAGATGTCGCGACGGGTTCACTCTGACATGGAGATCGAATCCGGCGCTACAAGGATACTCTGAAAACCTCCCTGAAGCCCCTGCAGATCAACCTGCCAAACTGGGAAGACCTCGCCCGGGACCGACCTACGTGGAGGAAAACAATGAAGACAAGCGCATCCATCTTCGAAGCTGACCGAATTACCGTCACCAAAGCCAAACGCCGGAAACGAAAATCTCAACTACCGCCCTCGCCTCACAACGCTAAGGCCCACCTACCTCCAACGTGTCCATAGGATCCGAGTAAGGTTTGACGGTACATCTAGGTGCGACTCCGGCCGTGCCAGCCACCCTTTTGGTGTTGATTAAGAAATCTGGCCATTTGCTGTGTGGGATAGGTGATGTGGAGTGAAAGGCCAAGGTGCGGACTCGATCGTGCCATTCAACTGCGCCCTCCATCCTCCGGTTTTCTTGACTCTGTCTTGACACCGGCTCCAGGTGGGGGAGGATGAGAGAGTGAAGTAGATTCTGTGTAAGTCCACATTCAGGTTAAACTAAATTACGCACAAGTCACCGTCTGTGCCTCACCATGCCGTGGATACACGGTAGACATATTCGGCAGCGACGGTCGAACTGTCATGTACCATAAAAGCTTGGCGAAAACTTGAGATAGTCTGCATGGTCTAATGACCAGAAACAGCTTTGGTAAAACAGATTGAGAGGATAGAAGAAGCAGACAACCAGAAAATGCCATTGGAAAAAATCGAATTTCTGACTTGCAGAATTTGTACCGTGTGCGCTTTCACTTTGGGTTTTGAATTGAAAAGCGAGCATGTCTTTTAGTCTGATGACTTTTAATACGGACAACCACATTCTATATACGCTGCCCGCGTCGAAACCCCTGAAACACTGGCCGACTTTGTTAGTACACGTCTGACATCTCAACCACCTGTATAAAGCACCCCGAAAAAGCACTATTTAGGCTGTGCATTTTTTTGTCCATTTTCGATGAGCATATAGATTTAGTAAATTTGTTCTGTTTTCTCAAAATGTTCGAATTGTTAACCATTCTTGGAGTTCTCCCTTACAATCTTCAGGCCAGTAAATACTACTGATATGTCATACAGTGTTTTAGACATATTGATACATTACAAAACGAGGAGGCATCTTTACTGAAACACTGAGGTTTGAGTGTTCTTTGGGAAGAATTTACCTCATATATCTTGCATACACCGAAAACTGCTAAAAAGGTATCGTTTCGAAATAAACTGATACTAATGAAAGTTAAAACACAAAGTTAATATTTTAAATCAAAAATATGCAGGTTTGCGTTAGAAAAAATCAGGTGTAATAAATGAACTTTTGCACACATTACTTTCGAATCACTTTGTGCGGACTTCGGAAATCAATCGGACGAAACAGACGTTATCTAGGTGGTAATTAGTTTCCGAATTTCATTTTTATAGGTGGCTGGATAGATTCCTACTGAAAATGCAGAATGCTACCGTGTCCGAATTGCTTGGAGTTATATAACCTGCCAGTCGGTTTTGCAAATTCACGTAAAACGTTTTCCAGCTAAAAAACAGGTGGGATAACTCTGGGCAATACTTTAAAATTCAGCGCATATTGTATTCTCTTTCATAAAACCTACCTTCAAACCCACTCTCTCTAAACTAGAACTCGTTTTTCAAGGAACGTACATGTTTAAAAACTTGCCGGCTAGTCTGTAAGGAAAAACCTGATTATTCGAATAGCATGATGAAATGGTTTGAAACCGAAGTTTGCAATCCTATTGAAATATGGTAGCACAGTCGGGTAGCCACCAAACGGTCACATCTCTCCACCCTACCGACTGGTTATGCATTAGGGCGTATAAATAAACATTAAGGGCTGTTGCGGGTGTTCGGCGTCGGCAAACACACTGTACCTTCACACATGGCGAAACATCAGTTTACTCACCTGGCAGTTGGGATACACTTGAGCTATAATACACAAAATTGCTCTCGAACACTTAGTGCGCACTGATACCATAGCCCTTGTCAGTTCAATCAGAGCCGTTGGAAAGAAGCGGCTAACTAAAACCCATTATTGTAGATAACGAAGGATATCAGTTGGGAAAGCCAACATCGAGGAAATTGGGATTAGTGATCTGACCGCATGGCTTCAAAGCCAACTTCCCTGACCATACATATATCAAATGCATTTCTCTGAAGTTGGCCATCCGTCTATTTTAACGATCCTTAGATGTTTAATAGGATCTTCCTATCCAATATCTCGTTTAATAATTCATGATAACGGCAATTCTCATGAGAATCTGGGATATCGCGTGCTGGTAGGCATATAAGGTGATAAAACGCGTCAAAATTGTCTGTGCATCGAAGTAAATACGACGAAGTAGAACCATCAGAGGTTTCGAAGCCAACTAATGTGCAGAGAACAAATAAATAAATGTAAACGGCATCGACGCAAGCACTATTCTCTCTGAGAATACGAAAAATGAAAGATACCGTCACCGACGATGTCATCGGCGACACGTTCGTCATAGTCAAGAGGAGCGAAGAGCAGGCTACCAAGGTATTGTTGAATTCAATCTTTCCCGACATTCAGCTTACAATGGAGGAAGAAGTCAATGATCAGTTAACCTTCCTTGGCGTACAAGTTACAAAACTGGCAGACGGGAAGATTAAAACAACGTTCTAAGGTAAGGCAACTAACAGTACGCGCATTCTCCACTTCCGATGCAACCGCCCTGTTTGTCACAAACGCAACTGTGTCAGAACCCTCTTCCAACGTATTCAAACACAGTGTGGCGACGACGGTGGTATGAAGGAGGAGATGAAGTATTTAGACGCCCTTTTTAAAGCCAACAGCTATCCGAAGTCCTTCATGCGCAATTGCCCCAGGAAGCCTCATTTTGAGCGGTCGAGCGGAGGATAAACCGAAGTTCTGGCTTGCAATCCCCTATGCGAAGAACGGTTCAGAGGCGACGCCAAAGATCCTAAAATCCTTTGCGATTGACGTGGCTCATAAATCAGAACGCAAAATCAGGCAGAAAACTATGAAACCAAACACCCGCCTCCAGCAACAGAATAATCAGCAGTGGTCTACAGCATACAATGCCAAAATTGTGATGCTAGGTGTGTTGGTGAAACGAGCAAAGGCCTTGGGACAAAATTGCACAAACACCGACGTGCAATCAACCGTTAGGACAAGCTGTCTTCGGTGTATGGCGACATACCACAGTTCGCCTTTTGGGAAGCAAAGGTTGGTGAACGGAGCCAATTAGAAGATGGCCAGATTATTGCTCGAAAGTTGGTCCTCGAGCTATTGACTAGCATCTCCCCTACCAGGCGCTACGAATAAGGCCCAGGTTAGTTCGGACAAAACCAATAGGACACGCGAGCACGCAGAGTCGAGAGCGGACGTACATGTAGGAGAAGGGATGTGGCGGCCAGGGGTCAGGTGCGTCGCCGACGTTCCCCCGAGGCTAAAAGCGACTCACAGGAACGGCAACGACTGATCAGTCCGCCGACCGACGTGGGGGAGGAGCATGAACACCCGTACTGCAGGTAGCCCCGTCCCAAATTCCAGGGGGTTAGAACTAGTGTTATGGTTAGGTCCATAACTAGGACTGGAACTAAGGTTAGAACACGCAAATGCGTGCCCTGCAGAATTTAACGGGAGGCCGCCTTTAGGGTAAGGAGCCATTCTTCCATGTCCGACCAAAATTTAAAAGGTGGCAATTGTGTAACGTTTGTAATACCGTCAGTGGTTCTTAATGGGAAAAATCAACCCATTACGTAAGCGTGTCAATTAGCATATTGTGCCTGAGAAATATTCGAAGCTCATTTGTAGACTAACTAGTAACCAATTTGTGAACAGGCACGGGCAGGCTTAGTACGATTGCCGGACAAGCCATTCAGAAAAGTAGAAGGCTCATTTCAGCAAAATACTTGCAAGGGAATTTACAATCTCAGTTACAAGGGTGCAGATGAAGGTCTGTGGATCAAACACTTCCAGTACACGTGTCATTAACTGAATGTAGCAGGGTAAAGCAATGTTGGTCTCAAAACTGGCGTAGGAGAACTCCGGTTCCGGTGTGACATGCACAGTAAAGTAATCATCCTATAACGCAAGAGGATAAAAAGATTGAAACCACGCTACGTTATTGATAGCTATAAGATTAGACTAACAATAAAACTAAATGGTTCCAACTGCAAAGTCATTACTTTTGTAAAACTCAGGGTTTAATAGAATCAGTACTGGCGATCGACGTTATCAAAAATGAAGAGGTTTGTCATTTACCTTATCCATTAACCCGTTCACAGAATAACCACAAGGTTCAAAAAGGTAGGCAGACAGACGACTTTTAGGAAAGAGTTTAGCAATTCCAGTGAGCTAAAAGAGAAGATAGGCAACTTTGAAAACGAGAACCAATGCTCCGTCATAGTAACTAATTCTTGGGAAATTTCCCGAAAATGGGATGAATTTAATGGAAATCAGGAACGGCCAAATGCTCGGTTAAAACGTCTTAAGGATGTCTATCGCGAAATTTTGCATCTACGCTAGACTGGAGATAAGGAAATAAATCTGGTCCAACTGTGAATTCGGGTTTTCGGCAATCGGCGCTGGCGTTCTACCTCAGGGTTGCGGGTTTATTTGGTATATCAAGGTGGACAGAGTCACTCATCACAACCTCGGGGTTCAGGTTCCTGACAAGAAGTTAACACAGGAACACTGTTAATCTACGACGAAAGTAGGCTGCTGAGAACTTATGTTAAAACAATTTTTGATTGAACAGAGTTTTCGGTGGACTGACTCATTATAAAATGCGTCTGTTAATATCTTCCAGATAGACAAATTGCAAAAGAAAAAATAGAAAAGTATGCAATTAGCGAATAACAAACGAAAAGGTTCTACACACATTAGTTGCCTCCTTGGCCGATGCGACGTTGCAGGCATAGAAGAATTTCATCTTTTGAGGGTTGAGATCACGCATTATGATCTTAGATGAAAAAAGCAAAAGCTCGTCAAGAAAGGAACCTGAGTCATATGACAAACAGAAGATACTGCTCTCCAATTCTATGAGACTAATGTCCGGAAAAAATTAACCGCAATCAATAGTGTTTGAAATTTAAAGATGTAAGTCTCCGCAAGTCATACATGAGATCTGTCCAAGTTGTGCTCAAGTAAAATGCATGAAAAGTTACGGAACGATGAGTACTATACCAACTAAGTTTTTATTCGACCCTTGTTGAATTATGTCAAGAAAAATGAACACTAACAGAGCGAAAACACCAGCAGTTTTGGGGGTAAAGGGAAAATGCAATTATCGTGTAGCGCAGCAGACGAGAAGGCAATCAGTGAATGACGATTGGTCGACTCGTCCTCGTTGATTTTGAATTGTACCATGCGTGAGGACACAAAAACACGGGGCACTCTACACAGCATAATAGACATCTGGGGGTACTAGAACAAAAAACATTAGGTATCATGTATAACACTTTGACCTCTTTTTATACTAATTGTGCACGCATGCTAGTTTAATTAATTTTTGTAAAATAGTACTATGTTTGTCCATAGTCATCCGTTCTTTTGCGGCCTCATCGATCCAACCTTCAACGTGTGACGCCGAGATGAATATATTCATGAATACAAAAACTCCCACCGATGTACATTTTCCTGTGATTTTTCACTGCTGTGGACAATATTATTAGGATAATCTATATGAACCAATTCCTTCCTTATAGATAGTTGTTTCCCTCCCCCTCAAAATCTGAACTCAGGTCCTGCAGCAAGTCACCATATGGTCTGAAAAAAGTGAGAAGAGCTAAGATGTAAATATCGGCTTCTGTCAGTAATCGTCAGTGTGTCATTATTGGTTTTGCATATCAGAACATCGACGAATGCAAGTTCCTAGAATATGACTCGAATTCGGCAATGAATTCAACGTCTATGCGATTACATGGACGGTCGATCGGTTCAGGCTTTATTAGTAGA